AACAAGCACTAACTTGAAATCATTAAAGAAAATGGAAAAGAGAAAAGTCAAACAACACACCGCATCAAAAATTGAAATGAGACATGAAAAGGATGAATATCAACTGAAAAGAATTAGAAAAGATTGGCCGAAACAGAGTTGGATGGAAAATGCTGATGATGAGTGACCTATGCTCCTCAACGAGGGGTAACAGGCATAAGTATGTAAGTAAGTCAGTAAGTAAAAACATTATGCTTCAAGTTACTTTATTCATTTACTTTCAACTGGATATCATATTAGTCTATGCGAATAGTCATTAAAATAAGTCTTACTGGTTAATTAAATGAACAATATGATTGTCTAATGATAGGTAATTATATCTTTGAAAAAAAACTGCCTAATTAAACTGATATTACAACGATTAATTATAAATCTAACAGATTACTATTACCGAAAGGGTAACAAATGTAACCAAGTAAGTAACTATTACCGAAAGGGTAACAGATGTAACTAAGTCAGTAACTATTACCGAAAAAAAGAAGAAATCATTTTACATAGAATTGACAGCTACTTTCATTGAAATTAATTAAGTACCTAGTAGGATATTTAAAAAAACAAAGCAATGTTAAGAGGCAGTTACACATTGAAGACAATAGTGAATGGTTGCGTAATATCGTGGATTGGTTGAAATTAGACATGAACACTGTTGGATAGGGACTCAATGGTCTGGAGATTTAAGAATTCGCGCATCGAGACCGAAGATTTTATGTTCGAATCCCTTTGGTGTGGGATCGTGGATGTGAACATCTGACGAGTCATATACTGAGATCAAATGGTCGTTCAGTGATTCTAGATTTTCAATGGTGATCTAGCTTAGATCGATTCATCAAGTCAACTATAGAGATACATTATTAGTTCATGTTTAAAAATTTATATAGATACTTTATTTATCAGTTTAAGGGTTGTGGAGATTATTGAGTTTTTGATTGAGATTATGAACCGATTGATGTCAAACCACCATTGAGAACCTGGAAGCACTGGACGGCCGTTTCGTCGCCGTTTCGTATGGGACTCCTCAGCAGTGCGCATCCCATACTAGGACGAAACGGCCGTCCAGTGCTTCCAGGTTTTCAATGGTGGTCTAGCTTCAATTGACTTATGATTTCAATCTGTGAAAATTTCTAAAAATCTCCACAAACCCCTTCTGATAATTATTTCTTAAGTTTTAACTTTTTCCTCATATAAGTAGTATGTTTTAATGTTAGTAATATAAAATAGTGATAATAATAATAATAATACTGTCATATTTCATTCAGGAAATGACTAGAATGAAAAAGAAACTCTTATTTGATGAGTGATATAAAGTTTATCGGTTGAATAAAATGTGAGGTAGTTTTATGAAGACAATGATTTACTGTATCTTTTATGCCTTCCCCCTTTCTTTATCTCTTTGTCTTTTTGTTTCTTTTAAAAAAGGAATTCAATCAGTGAACTTCAATAAATCATAGTTGTCTTATTCACCAATTGTATATTCATCTTAAATTGATATTCTTTGATAGGAGATATCATTGTGAAAGAATAAATGTTTCGATTCAGAATTCATAGTATTCATCGAAGCTAGACCATCATGAATAACCTGGAAGTATTGGACGACTGTTTTGTTCAACTGTGGAACTCCTTGCCTACGAAACTGAAAATCTTGGGTTCGAATCCTTTTGGTGTGGAATCGTCGATACGCACTGTTGAGGAGTTCTATAGTAGGATGAAACACTTGTCTAGTGCTTTCAGATTTTCCATGGTGATCTAGTTTCAATTGACTCATGAATCAACGATTACATTACTATTATATCCACAAAACTTCTTCTGATACTTATCACTGTTCATCATGTTCTACCTGTTATCTTATGGAAATCGGTGTTTTCTGTAAGATTCGAGAAATATGTCATCTAACACATCAGAACATATATGAATAGTCAAATTTTGACTTGATCAATAGAATCCGATTAGAAACAATTACTGATTAAATATGACACTGGTCACTTTGATTCGATTTATAAACTGTAAGCCTGGATAGTGTCTAGCTCTCCTGCAACTGGGTTTGAGTTGTACTGCTCAGGTTAAAACTGAGCAATGTCTGGTTGCCGTATATCACGAGGCAAGCCCTGACTTGAAGTCGTGAAGGGAAGCGGAAAAGAGGAAGGCCAAAAAACACAGTACATCAAGAAATAGAATCAGATATAAAAAGGATGAATAACAACTGGAAGAGGTTGCAAAGGATTGCCCAGAACAAGGTTGGATGGGGAATTCTGGTGAGTGGCCCATGCTCTTTCACGATGTGTTTATCTGAATAATAGAATATATAATCTCTGTTTAGCCAAAACCCTCAACAAAGTGACGGTTGCCTACTACTTAGTTTTGTATCGATTCATTGGTGAAAATGATTAATAATGGGTGATTCAAGTTTCTCGGGTTTCTTTTCTAAGATCGTAAAAATGTCATTCAATAAAAACATCTAATCGACCAAACTGAGTAAATATTTATCACAATCTTGAAGAAGATATAGAACTAATCAGATACCTTAAATCATTTGATTTATTGATCTTACAATTGAGTGGTCTCAAAAATGTTACACAGGAACAATTTTCCTATTGAGGTTTAAGATTGCAAATGATCAGTCTGTTATTGACATATGTGCATACTGTGCGTATGCATCGATATTGCCTTAGTTCACAAGATTTTACAAGCAAAGATATATAGTGGCTAGCGGTACAATCCAGTTTGACACACGTTTCGTCCTAATTGGAACTCGTCAGCTGGACGAACCTGCGTCTCAGAGTTCATATTCGTTCTGGGACTCGAACTCATTACTAATCACTTCAAATGTCACCATGATATCCACTTAGCTACTGAGTCTGATAGCCACTTGCTTGTGCAATGAGGTGAATTTTAAATTCACTTTGTATTACTTATTTGAATTCTTCTCATTGATGTTTAGAATTGCAATTGATCAGTCTCTTAGTATCATATGGTGCATACTAAACGTATTACCTCGTTATTGGCTTAAATGAGAAAGTTTTTGAATGTTTACTATGGACTGTCCAGATTTCAAACATTTTGATACCAAGTTACTTATTACTCATTACCATTAATGATCTTCAATCAATCAATAATTTAAGTATGTTTTAACAATGGGTCATCTCTTTAAGTCTATTCAATTTTTATACTTCTCAGTATAGTTGGTCATGTGGATCAATCGATGTTATATATTTTTACTATTTAGACTTAACACTCACAAGATTACATAAGTAATCCATAGTATAAACTTCTATACTTATGTAATTAGTACTATACTGAATGAGAACATAATCAATTGAAGACAATCAAATGGACTTGGATACAAAATTACATAATCACTTAGTCAAATCTCAGAATCATACAGTAAATAGTTCATTTACAAAATGTTAATCAATCGTTCAGATTTCATTGTTCTTTCGTTTCCACATCCATTCATTCTCTGTTCTCTCTTGTACTGCCAGGTATTTCACTTTCGATTAATGATACATACTACTTATATGTGATGACATCAATAATACACACCACAGTACATTTTTAATATAAATCTAATTAACAAATTCAACCAGGTCTGTTGTGAGATAGGAACTCACTGAAGACAATGGTGTACGGTGGCGCAACTTCGTGGATTGGTTGAAGTTAGACATTGACACCGTTGGATGCCGGCTCAGTGGTCTAATGGTTAAGTGCTCGCGCGCGAAGCCAGTAGGTCCTGGGTTCGAGCCCCGCGTGGTGCGGGATCGTGGACGCGCACTGCTGAGGAGTCCCATACTAGGACGAAACGGCCGTCCGGTGCTTCCAGGTTTTCAATGGTGGTCTAGCTTCAACTGACTCATGATTTCAATCTGTGAAATTTATAAGCTATGTAAGGCTATGTAGGGAAACATAAAGCTCATTATGACGCTTATATATGTATATAATATAAACCAACCATTTGATATATGTTCATTAGACTTATGCAAGTTCATTGATTCACTAAAGAATAGTTTATATATTTCTAATTTTCAATTCTAGTCCCAACATTCATTATCACTAGAGTATTTGAATACAAAACTCCACCTGGAGCCTCTGTAAGGCTACTGCTTGTCCAAGCCCAGATTAAGGAGAAGAGTTGGGCATAGGTTTAGCGACCCCACTCTGTAGAAAAATAACTCGCTAAAAAAAAAAAACGCTAACCAGGAAAAATTATTCAAAGCATTTGAATAAAAACTGAATGAGTAGTATATTATTACCTGTTAAGTTATATTTGACAATTTGATTAACGACAACTCTCTTGAAACATTCAACGAATAAAGAAAAGGAGACATTACATCAAACGGGGGGGGACAGAAATGATTGTTAAGTAAACTTTCTTCATTTAATTTTGAAAATGTTGGCCAGTGCTTTTCATTTTAATAATATAAAGATTAAGTACTCATTGTAAAAGCTGAAAGTTTTTATTTCGACATTTAATAAGATCATCGTTAGACACTACTGTGAATTCTAACACTTGAACGAAACAATTATCCAATCTATCATTATTTCTAATGGTTTCCTTACCAACGAATATAATAATTGAATTTATGAGTCAGTTAAAGTTAGATCAACATGGAAACACTGTAAAACTGTTTTGTTCTAGTAAAAAACTCTTCGACATTACACAATCACAATCCTGCACCCAGTATTCGAACACAAAATTTACGGTTATAAGCATTTTGTAGTTTAGAAGTTAAGTGTTCACATAACAAAACCGATAAATCCTGGGTTCGAATCCGTTTGTTATAGAATCATAAATGCACACTGCTAAAAAGTTCTATCATAAGATAAGATTGTTGTTCACTACTTCAAGATTTTCTATTATAATCTAGCTTTAATGAACTCATGTATTCAACTATTAAATGACTACACTTTACATATAACCCACCTTCTATTAACATTAAACATTTATATAATCATAAACAAATACTTACCAATGAACATGAATAATCCAAAGCATACTTTAATGATTGAATTCATTATCAACATTTAATTCATTTGAATAATAATGATTAAGTCTATTCAATACTCCTCATTCATTTACATTATATTAAGTATATAAGTAGTATATAGAAAGTTTATTATATAACATTTATCATTATTCATTTATTACTTTTCTCATCAAATCATATTATGTATTAAGAATCAAAGTTTTATTATTTTTGTTTTAAAATAAATAAATAAATAAAAAGAAAAGAAAATTTAAATAAACACTTTATTCTCATTGGTTGATTCATTCTATAACCTTGAGCGGTAGCTTTTCGACCAATCAGAAGCTTAATATCAAAATGGGTTTTGTGGAGAGTTTTAGAAATTTCACAGGTTGAAATCATGAGTCAATTGAAGCTAGACCACCATAGAAAACCTGGAAGCACTGGATAGCCGTTTTGTCCTAGTATGGGACTCCTCAGTAGTGCGCATCCACGATCCCGCATCCAGCGGGATTCGAACCCAGGACCTACTGGGTCCACAAAACCCATTCTGATAATAATTAACTGCTCACTAGTGACTGACTTCAGGAAAATACTCCTGCAGTTCTAGTGAGAAGCCGTTACCAGTGGAGTTCAACCAGGTCTGTTGTGAGATATCAACTCATTGAAGACAATGGTGTACGCTAGCGCAACTTCGTGGATTGGTTGAAGTCAGACATTAACACCGTTGGATGCCGACTCAGTGGTCTAGTTGATTAAGCGCCTGACACGAGACTGATAGATCCTGGGTTTGAATCTCGTGAGGTGTGGGATCGTGGATGCGCACTGCTGAGGAGTCCCATACTAGGACGAAACAGCCGTCTAGTGCTTCCAGGTTTTTCATGGTGGTCTAGCTTCAATTGACTCATGATTTCAACCGGAAGCTTAGTATTTGTTTTTTTGAAAAATCTTTCTTTTTTAAAAATTTGTTAAGGTGTGTGTGTTTTTTCAAATTTAAATAGAATACATTACTTTCAATGGTTAAGATCATGAGTGAGTTGAAGCTAGACTACTATGGAGAAACCGGAAGCACCGGACGGTCGTTTCATCCTATTGTGGAACTCTTTGGCAGTGCGAGTCCACGACGTCACCCTCTGCGAGATTCGAACCTGTGACCTTCTGGTTTCGCGCACGACCACTTAACCACCAGACTACTGAGCTAACCGGAATCCAACGGTGTTTATATCTAACTTCAACTGATCCACGAAATTCGGTGACACATCCAACAATGCCTTCAGTGAGTTACTATCTTACAAGAGACCCCTTTTGGAGACCATCACTAGTGAGCATATGTTGATTAGTATCAGAAGAGATTTTGTGGATGTTATCCATTGAAATTACTAGAATATTCACAAAACCCATCTGAATAGAAAAAACTGAAAAAAAAATTACTTTTTTTAGAAATAAAAACCGAAATCATTTATGATATTTAAATGAATTCCTTGTTATTATCAATTATAATATATTAGAAGGAACGAATATACAATTGATTGTCATTTAAGGGTAGGTTTGTGGAAACATTTAAAAGATGAATACAATCATATACAATCACATATAGATATCCATGTATATTCTCTTTAATTGTGTTGTGAACTGTAATGAATGGTATTTTGTTGTTCCATTCCTTCCTTCCTTTATTCATTCATTCATGAGTGGACTGTATATAAAGTGTGATCTAGATGATTTGTGTTGTTTTACTTAGTGAATAAGAATAAATAGGAAAGATTGAACAACTGTTTCTATCATTCAACTATGGGTTACTTTTCTTTTTTTTCTTTTTTTAAAAAAAAGAAAGAAAGAAAAACAAAAAGAAAAACCACTACATTTCTCCTTATGGTTTTGTTTTGTCTTGTTGTTTTTAAAGAAAAAAAAAGAGGAAAGACAAATACCAAGGGTGATGATTATATCTAATTAACTAGTTATAGTAAAGATAATGACATGAAAGGTAGATAGTCATAAAAAGCAAAAAAAAAGGAAAGAAGAAAAGAAAGAAAAGAAGAAAGAAAATGTCATGTAACTAATAGGACAATGAATATTTCCATATGAAATAAATCAATTCTATATGAATTGTTATATAATGAAGATCTAGACATTTGTAGAGAAAATATGGAATACAATGAATAATTTGGAATCAATTCGATTTGAACTTTATAGATCATCTAGCTCTTCTATCTTATACCAATCAATGCATGTCAAGACAAACAGTGTAACACCAACCTCTGAATCAGTAGATTTCAATATAAACAAAAAGAAAAGTAAGATTCGTAAATACAATAGGGAGAACAACAACCTAATGACACTTGAGGAACAAGCTCTAGAGGATGTGGAATCTCTCAATTACCTGGAAAGCATCATTGATGAACGTGAAGGATCTGATGCAAATATAAGAGCGAGGATTAACAAAGTAAGAACAGCATACCAACAGTTCAACAATATGTGCAACTCAAAACAATTGTCTATCAACCAATATCAAAGTTACAATCTTCATTACGAACGTCAATACAGTTAGTTCTATAGTACGGAGCTGAAATGTGGAGAACTACTATTACTACTACCATCATCAAAATAGTACAAGTATTAATAAACAATTGCCTATGCAAGATACTCAATGTTCATTGGTCGGATACCATCAGCTACAATCTACTGTAAGAGAGGATAAACCATCTACCAACGGAGGAGGAAATTAGGAAAAGACGTTGGAAGTGGATCGACGTTTCCCATGGTGGTCTAGCTTCAATTGACTCATGATCTCAACTATTCATTAACGTTTGAAAAAATTCCTTAGAAGTAAAAAAAATATTCAAAATTCATTTTAAACAGTTAACATTTGTACAAAATTCTCAATAATTCTTCAAAGTCAGGTCATGGTGTATACTACTGATGTCAATAGATATAAGTAGTATATAACATCAATCGAAAATGAAATGTTTGGAGGTAGAAGATTAAGAAGATCAAAGAAAAGAGAACGAGATTAAAGAATGAACGAAGGAACAATAAAGTCTGAGACGATTGATTGACATTTAACAAATGAAGTATTAACTGTATGGTTCTCAGATTTCATTAAGAGATCCTGTAATTGTATGTCCAAAGACATTCGATTATCCTCACTCTTGATGTTCTCATCCACTACAAAGTCATCACGTGTGTTTAATCAACTATTATAATTGATGCCAATTTTAGTATCATTTCTATGACCTTCAAGGAGTTCACCTTAGAAGTAAATCATCTTTCATATTTCTACTTTCTATTTTACCCTTAGGGTAGAAGATTATTTAAGGCTAGAAGCTTTATAATATAGAAACCTAAAAAAGGAGGTACATGTCTACCATTGAATGATTTATTGAACATGTTGTCTCATACTAAATCGATAGTTGGTTGTTGGGTTGATTCTAATTCATTCATTGTTATGATGATGAGTTATACTAATTGTTAACACTGTCCTTTGAATTTCATCATCATTGAGGTTTGGATAGATAAATATTGAGTGTGTTTTTTTTTAACGGCAATTATTTCTTCTTCAAGTATTTCAGTGGAATATCTTCATTTTATTCCTTAAGTTGATGCTTTTACGAATCGTTTTGTTTCGATGGAGTTTTATTCTCTGAATTGGATAGTTTAGTCGTGAAGCTCTCATCGTTCTTCTGAACGACATTATCACTACAAACTTCAAGTAGAAGTGTCCAATCACTCTTGATGGCGAAACTCTGGAAGATGTAGAATCCTTCACATACCTGGGAAACATCATCGATGAACAAGGAGGTTCAGATGCAGACGTAAAGGCGAGGATTGGCAAAGTAAAGACGGTATTCCTACAATTGAAGAACATATGGAACTCAAAACAACTTTCAACCAATATCAAAGTTACAATCTTCAATACGAACGTCAACACTGTTAGTTCTATAATACAGAACTGAAACTTTGTGAACTACTACAACCACCATCAAGAAGGTACAAGTATTTATAAATGGTTGTCTACGCAAGATATTCAACATCTATTGGCCAGATATCATCAGCAACAGCCTTCTGTGGGAGAGAACAAACTAGCTTCCAGCTGAAGAGAGAATTAGCAACAGACGGTGGAAATGGATAGGACATACATTACGCAAATCATCAAACTGCATCACGAGGTAAGCCATGATTTGGAATCCTGAAGGGAAATAAAAAAGAGGAAGACTAAAGAACATATTACGTTGGGAAATAAAGCAGATATGAAAAGGATCAACAGGAACTGGAAAGAGCTGGAAAGTATTGTTGAGGAGAGGGTTGGATGGAGAATGCTAGTGAGCGGCCTATACTCCTTCATGAGGAGTAACAGGCGTAAGCAAAAGTGAGTAAGTCCAAGTAGAAGTGAAGTGATCAAATTTCTCTACATGTGGTTCACAGCTTATCCTGTACACCTTGATGTCGATTAGTTTTTGTTCACCTTAAACCTATTATTGTTTACTTCTTTATTTTGGTTGTATTCTACTAATCCATCCTTTTAACTGATAAAAAAAATAAGAATGACTGACATTCAAGAATAGATTATATAATAAGCTATCAGTTTGCGATGTAGACTAGATGAAATGTGGATAGTAGTGGAATTTAGGACGCACGTTTTTGTTGTATTTGTGATGCGTTAAAAATGAAATGAAATACACATCCTAGATTCCAATATCAATAATAGTGAGCCAATCCGTACTAGATGCCCATGTGCTAACTAGTACTGATCAAAGTTCAGTCAAAGTTATCAACAACACAAAAATGTAAACCATTTCAAATTGGAATCTATTATATTTAGTCAGTTGAATTTAGTTATATGCTTACTATACTGTAACAATCTCCAACTAGACTCATTCATATTGATGAAGTTTTCTTCTCTCAGCTGGATGGTTTTGTTGTATATGTCGTTTACATGCTATCTCGATGGCTATTGTCAAGCTTTCCAAATATTCCAACATGAGTGTTCTTTGTAGCTTCATCTTTTGATCCTTTTCCAGTTCTGAGAATAAAACTCTATCAAAATCATTCATTTGAACT